CTTCTGCAGGGGCACCTCTGAAAAGCATTATGCGGGTCACTCTGTAATTGGGCACAAGCCTGTTGAGGGCCCAGAACAAGAGAAGGATAATAAATAAATAAATAAATAAATAAATAAATAAGTAAATAAGTAAATAAAAATAAAGAAACACATAAAAACTTTCGTATTAAGTTACTGCACCGCGAGTCAATTACGGGGAGTTTAAGAACGCAATTCTGGAGCAATATCAGTGCAATTAAAAAAACCTTAACTAAAAGTTAGAAGGAATGAATGTGCCGTATAGTAAACAAACTTCTTCATTTTCGGTGAAGACAATAAATTCTCACGCATTTGAAAGCTACAACGTTTAAAAAAATATGCGACAAACATCGAAAAATATTCTGTAATTGTTCCAGCCGCATTATATTTTCAACATTAGCTATGAAGATAATCTCTTTACAAGGTACTGTAATAAGCATGAATTATGTCAATTTCAAGGTTTTATATCTTCAGAATCAGAGAATTTTTGTAATGTAGGAAGACGTTATCGTTTTAAAACTAATTAATTCTAAAATATCGCGCTCCTTATTGTTATTGGATTTAAATTCAAATTCAGCTTAGTTCACTCAAGAGGAACCCCATGGCCACGTATTAAATGTTTTAGAAAGAAAATAAGTAAAAGTGCAATGTAACTTGGATATAAATAAATTCATCATCAATATATTGGAAATTTACGGTAATTTTGTAATTTATCAAGGAAGATATTAAGAAAAAAAACCATATTCGAAGCAATTTCAGATTAAAAAAAGAAAAAAGGGAAATTTTTTCAGTAAGTAATTGTGTAATTCACATTAAGGGCTAGCCATGTAAATTTTACAAAAACTGGTAGGGAATTACCATTTTACACAAATTTTTTTTCGATTTTTTGAAAACTTTTTCGCCAAAATAAGATTATTTTTCTCATTCCAATTTAGGGGTGCGCCCTTTCGTGGTAGGAATTTTAAAATCTTTATTCCAAAATCGGAAAGCGCATACCCCTTGGCATGCTCCAAAATTCTTGATTGCTGAGAAAAAAATTACAGAGGATGCAAATTTCGTCCTTTTTTTGAGGGTGGCTCCCAAACGAAACAAGTTGGATCCTCAATTTATTTGGAAAAGTCCTTTGATCCTTCAGGTTGTTCTTTAAGAGAAACGCCAGTTATCAAGTATGTGAGCTCTACCTTGATAAATATTACTTTGGTACGCTGGCAAAGGGGTTGGTGATATGTTGATTTAAGCTGACACACATTTTATTTCTCTAGGAAAGTACAGTAACGCTAATCAAGGCTTAATTGTGTGTTGAGTAATAACGTGAGAAATAAATGCATTGTCATTGCTCCACTGGTAATACTTTCATGTATGGGAGGTTCATATATTATTCCTTCTCTATTGTATCCACATAATGTTAACACAATATTTTTATTCAGCTTGTCACACACCAAAATCGATTTAGAAATTTCCGTATCAAAAAACTATAAAGCGGCTACTCAAGTTAATAACCATGCAATAAATAAAGGATCGAATCCACTTTGACAGCCTATCATTTGACAATTTGTGTCGGAATACTTGGAGTGTCGTGTAATATATAATTTGTAGAAGCATAACGTGCACCTTAAAACTCCAAAGACAATAAAATCTAGTGAAAGGTTTCGAACATCTCAATTATGGCATAAAAGAATACCACACACCAATATTAAACAATTATTTTGTTATTTAGCCTTGTTCTAAATGATGTATCTCAATTGAACGATGGTTATTAAAAAGAATTTTTTTTATTATTAATGGTTAGGGAGCGTTTCCGAACTGCTCCACGCCATCGTCTAAAATCTAATAACAGTCCAAACAAACTTTGTATTCAGATCTCCTACAAGTGAAATGACTATTATGTAAGTACTTCTTCCGTTTTAATTGTGGTATCGAAGCAGGCC